AACTATCAGGGACTCTGTCCCAGTTTCTGCCCCGGCGGCAATGCCACTCCACCAACAGCAATTACTGCAACGTAATACAACGGACGGACGGCTTCCAAATTCCGTGTAATACCGGCTAAATTGGTTTCCGCCACCCCGAAGAAGAGGTATCGTCGATTTTATTGCCGTTCGCCGTCGCATATAGTCCCTTTCGCGCGCGACGGGATTATTATTTATTATCGGCGCGTCGCGTCGTCCGATTTTTACGATAGGCAGAGCCGGTGACTGTGTCGGATTGCTCGGTTGCAACACGATCAGTTGGACTGAAGCGAAATGAACAAACATTTGCGCCCACATCGTCGCATTTATCTCCGCAGAAAGCGCGATGTATCGCCAACTAGTCTCTCTCTCTTTGCGGCAAATACGCCGCAGATTCATATTTACTCGGCGTTGTTACGCTCCGTCGGGAAACCCCGCGTGTAACGAAGCCGTGGCAACGAAAGAAATTGCGGTTTTTACTAATGACGATGTTATGATAGCTCCAAGTCGCTATGAGTTCACGGGTAACTACCGGATACGCGATACTTCTCGCACCGCAGGTGTAGAACTCGCGAGTCTCACAGACCGTTTTTTTTTTTTTTTTTTTCTAAAATCTGTTTCACAGGATGTGTAATTAAATCAGTAAATTTATATGTAATCAAGCCAACGAGATAATAGCTGATTTATTAGTTGCAATTTTAACTCTTTAGATAAAAAATAAATGAAAATCTCTTTGTGACCGTAATGCTAATTCTAGAATTTGCGGTAGAATTTCGACTCGTGAATCCTCGCGCATTATAGATCATATAAAATAAACTTCACCTCTTTTTCTACATCCGTGATGCCAGCAATGTAACACAAAACCGATTAGTCAAACGGATATGTACTCTTACGTTGCCCCGTTGTTCGCTAAGACAAATTACGGTGCTATATAATGGTGCAACATTGTGCAATTAAACGAGTAATTGTAGTATTATAAAAGCACGGTTAAAGTGGAATTCGACATTCCTAGTTAAAAGACACTACTAAGAAGACGGCAATTTCTCAGGCGTGGTTTTTTTAGTCAGGAAACCTTTCAGCAAGAATTATAGAATAGCGTACACCGTAAAAAAATCTGGTCGAATTAATTGGACGTCTGGTGGAAAATGAACGAAGCAGATTTTTCCAATTAATGCAACCAGAAATTCCAATTAATGCAACCAGAATTCCTATTAATTCAACCAGTATTTTCTGGTGAAAAATGAACAAACCAGATTTTTTTTCGGTGTATGAAACAGCATATCCGATTTCGGATTGGTTTCATTATACAGCACTTCTCGATTTACTGTCTTTTTTATTATATTTTATTTTAAAACTTTATCCGCATTTTAGATTGTCTTAGACTCATTTTAAGCCGACAATATCGGGGGAAAATTAACGACCGTCGCTTTTATTGAAATAAGGCGTTGCGCGCGAGCTAACTGTAACATTGTTTCGCGACCCATATTAAAGGGTCTTCGTAAAAGCGTAGCGCCTTTTTTCAAGAAGAGTTGCGGCCGGCCGACCTGGTCTGCCGGGGAAACTCGTTTCCGCAATTAAATCACCGGATCACTCGATTAATGCATCACCTCGCTTTCGCTACGCGCGGACGCCTCTTTCGCATCCGCGCGCGCATTCCGCGCGCTATCAATCATCGGCCGCCGCGGCCTCTCGATCAATTTTCACGAACGCCCGATAACAAGCAAGGAGACCGTGGATCTTTTTTTTTTAATCTCCCGGAACGCGCGTCGCGTTGCGGGTAAGGGGGTCGCGGCCGATGGAAAAGGTCAGCTCGGCAAAAAGGCTGCTCCATCATGCCCGCTCTAGAATGCACGCTGAAATAACGCGTCACGGTATATTGCATGCATGTGCTTTACGATTACACCGTCGTCCCTCCGCCCTCATTAACATTATGCGGCGCGAGGCCGGGTGTGTTGTTTTACGATCTAAAACTATATACACCCGCCGTGTGTGTGTGTGTGTATGTGTGCACGCGCAAATAAAAGTTTTAGAAATTTTTCCTCGCGGAGGAGTCGCGTGTTAGATTAAAAAAATAATGAACTCCCGTTCTTCTTGAATGAATAATAAAAAAACGCTTCTTTCAAAATATACCCAATGTTTTTTTATCTCTTACAATTTCATTAGGAAGTATATTTTACCCGTCGTATGTATATACGTTTTCCTTAACGGGTGAAACAGAATATTTCGGGCAAAAGGTGGTTACGCTCTTCGAACATGCATATATCTCAGGTGCTAACCGGCGCATTCGCGCGCCGGCGGGGTCCTCTAGTTACCAGCAGCACGTAGCTAAGATACGACGATGGAGAGAACAATGGTGGGTGTTATACGGCAGTACGAAATTAGATTAGATAGATCTTGGTCGAGTAATGCGACCTCGCTCGCGGGAACGAGCTTGCACAAACGAACGGCACGTCGTAAACGTTACACGACCTTGTACGGGTATAGTCGGACTAATCGCGCAGTTAGTCGCGCATTTGGCGCGTAACGCGCTGCCATACCGCCGCGCAAAAATGTCACCCGCGATAGGGCGATTAAATAGGATGTAAAACGCGATATTAATTAAACCTGTTAAGCTTATGGCGGTCCCGGGGTCGCTTTAAAAAATTCTCGGCTTTTTGTTAAACCCGGCCGTGGGCGTTACAAAATATACTCGACTAATTTCATTAATTACGCGACAAGTGGAGAAATATGAGATTTTATTCCGTGTATGTACGTCGCTGATTGCCGAGTGGTGTTATCGCTATAAACGGTCGCAATTCATATCAATTCGATTAATGCATCTGCCGTTTTTAATAACTGACAACGAAAATGGAGAGGCTTTATCAAAATATCAAGGTGCTTTCTCTCCCGCTTTTTTTTATATAAAAATTTCATGCGTGTGTTGTTTTTGACTAATGGGGCGCCGCCGCGTGATTGAAAACGTCATCGAAAAGACTTGACTCTCAGGGAAGCTCCCCAGTTCATCAACCCTTTTAGGTTTTTTTATTTTCCCGTCGTGAAACTTGCGATTTCTTTAATACAAGCGAGCGCGAGACCTCGGCAGGCAAATTTCATAAAACGCTCGCTCGTCCGCGCCGCTCGTGAAAGACAGATAATCTTAGCTCGACATAAGGGAATAATCCCGATAAAACTTTCTCCCGGCGAGAGATGAGCGGCCTTTAAGCGGCCTTTCCAGTTACTCCGGCGCGCGCGGGCGCCGTTAACCCGGAAGCATTTTTCACCATCATCATAAAATATTACTCCGTCGAGCGTTTCGCCCGGTACTTCGAGAAAAACGTTCTCGCGATGTCCGTTGGGAATCTACGCGCGAGAGAAAATAAATTCGTCGTTATCCCGGGGAGGATTCTTATTTTGCGATGTTGCGCCGCCGCGATCAGCGAACAACGCGACCAAGTCGTGTTGACGATAATGTCGTAAATAATTTTGCCCGACTCCCGTCGTTCATTTCCGATAACGAATTTCCCGCTCGCGGTCTCGTACGCGCCCCGCGATCCGCTCTCGACGCGCGCGCGCGAACACGTGGGCGTGCATTCCTATCAAGCCGAGGGTCGACATGGCCCAGAGGATGAGGAACGAAAACGAAAAGCAATTATTTAAATGCATTCTACAGCGCCGGAGCTCTGTACGTTTGCGCTCGCAGCTCGATCGAACGGCACTTCCCGCAATTTCCCCTTTTTTTCCTGTCCATCGCTGTGCCTTCCGTTCGCCCCCTCCTCCCCCCTTTTTCTCGTACTTCCTATTTGATAATAAAAGAAACGTGACCGAAGGCCGCGCCACGTCTGAAATTGTCGGCAAAATTTACGGAGAAAGGGGCACAATTAATCGGGACTTGAAACGGCGCGAATTCGATTGAATAACAACGGAAATTAGATTCGAAGATCTTATAAGTACTTCGTTACTGGATCGTTCCTGCGCTCTCGTTCCATCGTGGTTTTCACAACGGTGCTCCGTTAACACGCGACGACCGACGAAAGCGTGGAACTAGTTTTTGTTTTAATGACGGCGCCCCGTATCGTATCAGTTGCACGAGTTCGGATTCACGCCACGCGCTAATCATAACGGGGCCGCAAAGTTACGAGGAGTCTTGTCGGCGGCGGCGGACCGGAGGCTCCGAGCGGAACAACAACGGCTTCCGCGTAACTCAATTAGCAGCTTGTGATGTAATATAAAATCTAGGGCGTCACCGATGCTACCGTCACCGGAAGCCGTAAGACTAATAAAGAAAAAAAAAGAGATCGCTCTGGCTTTATACAACGCGCGCTAAAGGGCTTCTTTTTTTTTTGTTTGGTGGTGTCGCTTTGTTGAAGCGTCGCGCTTTTGCGTCTCGTGGAGGCTTTTGCGCGAGATTTATCTTCACTAGACAAACTTCTGTGTATCACGCTTATTATATAAAAACCTTAAAAACATTTCTCTATATTTGTATGTCTCTCTCGTTAATTATTTTACAAACAGCATTTTGCTAAAATTAAGAGATGAACTTATCGTTTTTCCTTGGATTTCCGCAGAGTGATACACCGGAAGAATTTCTCTCCCCTCGTCGGCGGCTTCGCGTCCGCGAATTTTTGCTCAATCGAGTTTCCGAGCGAAGTCCCATGATGAAAGGGATTCCATGGAACGTAAAATAAAGCTCGATATCGCGGCGGTTGAAAGAGACAGGGAGTACTCGTCGCACGGCAAAATCTGAACGCTATAATTTTGCCCGGGCTCGTTCCATCGGACCGATCTTTGTCTCGGTAAATGGAGGGCCCATACCGTTCATCTACCGCAATTCGAGGGTTGTACCCGCTCCCTCGTTCTTCACTCGCGGGATTTTATCGAGGGAGGGTCGTCGCGCAAAGTGCCACCGTTTTACTGTTCTGCCGCGGCACGGAACGCCGCTCGATTTCGTTATTTATTAATCGTCGGACAGCCCGCTAATCTCTGCGGTATTTTCGGTGTTACAGGTCTCATCAGCACCAGTGGCAGGAAGCTCGATCGCGAGAATCAAGCGGAGCACGTGTTGGAGGTAAGTCAAATCGAATTTTCTTTTTTAAACTTCTATTGTCACCTGGGGTCAAAGTAATCTCATTTTTTGAGTAATATATCTTGAGTACTATGCAAAATTTTGAGCAAAAAAACATTGAAAAATGAAAGTTATGATTTTTTCCGCAAAATGGATTTTTTTTCGAAAATTACATTTTTTAAGATTTTTTTAACATGATTGCACTCAAAAAGTAATTTTTTATGATAAAAATACATTCTACAATGTTTAAACTTAATTCTAGAATTTTTTACGATCCACTTAAACTCTTAAACTGTTAGTTTTTGAACAGCAGCTGCTCGAAAATTGGTTGGGGTCAAATTGACCGCGTGTGACAAACGTGTTCGAAAAAAGAAGTGTGACACAACCGTGGGTTAACATCTTCCATAGCAACGTAATTGCAAATGAGTTCGAAGCGCGAATAAACTTCGAGGAAACAAAACAGATTCTGAGCGCATCGCGTCTTCGCAGTCGGCGATGCTTAAACGACGATCTAATCAGTTTCTCAGAATCGTTAGAGCAAGTCGTGTTCCCTAATGGCGCGCTAACACTAACAGCTGATAGATGGATTAATGCCGCATCTTCTTTCTCGTTTCGCTCATCTATTCGTTCCCTGTTCATTTGTCCGTTTCTCGACGATACTCGTCGATAAAGTTTCTGGAACCGTCGTTTTTGCTTTCTCGCTTTACTCCGACTGCTCGTCGTAGGCACTCCCTCGATATTGTCGGAGTGGAAATGAGGAAGAAAATCGCATCCTCCGTGAGATTGAAAAGTAAAATGAGGAAAATGAGGAAAATCTGCTGCCTCCGACGATAAAAGCGAGAAGGCCAACTTGAGGGTAGCACGGCGAGAAAAGGGGTAGTATGAACGGGGGGGAGGGGGAGGCGAAAGGCCGAGAAACGAATGGACGACTTGGGACAACGATGGAAAGAAAGAGGGGTTGAAAGCGGCAAGAGAGACGGCCGAAAGGAAGGGAGGCTTCGGATAGAACAACGCTGAAAAGGGTACAATGGTTCTAAGAAGAAGAAGAGCCGTAGGGTGAGACACCGGGGAGGCGAGACATTTCTCTGGGGAAGGTCGACGGAGCCTCCCCGGGGAATTTCTACCTGCATCGGGATTAAAGAAAGAGCTCTCGCGATAGTCTCACGTCGTGTACGAGCGGTAGACACTGAAATTTCGCAGGGGCGATAAAAGTAGGAAAAGAGGCGATACCAATTTCACCAAAAGGCTCCTATATAGAATTCGATTGATAGAGTATAGCCTAACTTTTATCCTCTGCGTTTTCCTTTTGCTATCTCCGCCAAGCACCCCATCTTGAGCATTTCGATATAGCTAATAGACCTTCTACCTTTTCCCCAAACTGCTGGAATTTCTAAGACATTTTGAAGAGAATTTTACTGATTAAGTGTAAAGATACAAAGATCCGAAAAGTCTTTTTTATCGATGAGTGACTGTGAACGAAGGATCGCGTATAACACTGTCGTAAATTCCAAAAATTCGAACGCAGTTTCACCTTGATCGCAAAAGTTGCTGTATGTGTCTATTATTCTAATTCTATTGCAATTCTCCACAAACCTACGTCAGCGTCTTTCTTATCTGGCACCACTCTGGCGTTGTTGCACGTTCAGAAAAGTTTTGCAAATAAAATTGCAGATATAGTTCTCAGCATTATTTCGTTTCCAGAAAAAAAAAACATTTCTCGACGTTTCCCATTAACTTGAACTTCGACTTCTTCCCGAAGTATTAAGAGACACAACAACTAAGTGCTTATGCCATCAGTAGAATTTCATAGGAATTACAATGCGGCAGACTCTATCGTAGCGTTCGCGAAATAATGATTACGTAATGCCGCAAGTTTTCGAACAAATGCGAAGCAGTTTGTAGATTTTATTTTTATACGTATTTTTTAAATTTGCATTTAAAGCTAGATTTTCTGAATTATTCATGACAATTTAAATGGTTCTGATACTGTATAATCATATCGGGTAATGGCCGGAGGAAAAAAAACACACACGCGCCGAACATTACGGTGGCAAAGTATTTCGTAATTAACACAAGCATATACTCGTCCCAAATTAAATTGCACGTTATTGGTTTTAATGGCCGTACTCTCATTCATTCGCATGTCGCGCACAGTTTAAATTTCCAGCGCATCCCACACACCAATCTAATTAAGTGCACTCTGTAACAGAATAGGATATCAAATCATATCGTCGCTTTGCAACTTTAAAACCGTGCATCAATATTTTGTCTCTAATAGGACTGTTTGGCGAAGCTCAGCACCTATTTATCTCGAGACAAATAATATTTAAACTTTGTGTCTTGGGACAAATAATATTTTCCGGAACATACACCCAACGAGCAGAGTGGAAGACCCTCTAAGTATTTAAGTTCGCATCGTGTGGGTCTTGATTTCGTTAGATATATCATTACGGGAATTCTCCAACGGAGCCGTGCCGCGACCAGGAAATCACTTTAAGAGGCTTTGATCCTTCGATGCGGGTTGTTAACAGCGTGTTTGTGTTCGTAACCGAGTTAAATGAGTCTCGGCTCTAGAAACAAGAGTTCGTGAAAACGATCGCCCTCCCTGTGCCTCCCTCGCTGTCACCTTCTTGCGGAGGGAAACTTCGACAATTTTGCAAAGCCCTCCGCCACGAATAATTAATGAACGCACAAAAGCTTTCTTTCGGCGTAAGTCTCGCCGATTACCCCTTCGTTATCAATCACGCGGATTAAATCGCTCGTTATTTCGGCTCATTATACTTTTTGAGGGAAAGACAATGAAGTTTTTATCATCGACAAACCGTAAAAAATCTTCAAATATATTTTCATATTTTATGCCGTCACGCGAGAGCAACCATAAAGCGAGAGATTTCATATTTCTCCATTGGTATTCTATGCATTTAGCTTCTATAAAAAGAGCTCGATATACATTCGAGCTTTGTCCTTCTATATTAGTTAAAAATCCATTTTATTTTCAGATAGCACAGTCGGCGAGTCCTATCATGCCGTAACCGTAACTATGCCGAACATTGGCGAAATTGATATCGGCTGAAACAGCGATATTGGCAGCATGCTCATCTAAACGGGGCGCATATCCTGGTAGATTCCGCGTGGATCGTTAGACTTTCTTTTTACGGCGCATCCGCTCGCTCGCCAAACTCGTTTACCTGTCATCGATATACCGCTTTACAGTGTGTACAGGCCGATGTCAAAGGGCGAGCCGGCTGGCTGGTATTTTGGCATGAAAGGTCAACCGAGGTTGCGCGACCTGGTGACCGGGGCAGCCACGCGTGTCTCTCTTTTTCATAATTCCACGTATAATTTACGAGTCCCGGATGTACGAGTCCCCGTGGCTGGCCTCTGCCATGAAGAAACCAACCCACTCGTATCTCGCGCCACCAGGCGCGCTTTTTTACATACCGTAATACGTAATACGTAAAGCGATGAATCTAAAATATTGACAGTACTCGTCTCGCTTTCGACAGCGCGTGTAACGACAGTGGATCACGCCACTGTCCGATGGCGTTTGCCATATTCGATCGGACAGACTCGAGCGAATTGAAGTTAAAGTTGTGTCGCGAAAGGCAGAGAGGTACAACTGTTGAAATTCCCAAGTATGTGACGATTACTTGTTGAAGGACTTTATTGACGTGAGATTGTTACCTCTTTTTGGTCAGGCTTTCAACACCCTTCTGTTTTCAGGTGCGCTTCAGATACTCCTCCTATTCAAAGTAAGCCAGAACTTGCTTACTACCGTAGAACAGAGCTCTCTAGCTGCCGCTTGAAGTATCCGCTTGAGAATATTTCATCGAAATTTATGATCGACCGGGCGTACTTGAATGCAAATCGAAGTCGCCGATAACAGATAATCCGGCAAGCACGTAAGAATCAATTTTCCCTCAACGTGTCACTCTTGCAGACGCTGCAGCAAATTTTTGAATTCATTTCCCACCCTGTCTTCCGCAGAAGAAAGAGTAGTCGACGGGTAATCCTGATGAGAAATCGAGATAGTTGGAAGTATTTTAAAAACGCGGTAGATTAATTGCCCGGAACCCCTATTTGGTCATGCAAATGTCTTACTGCGCTTAAGTAACTTCAAAACGAAGCATTTTTACTCGGGCATAAGTGTCAAACAGTAAATTGTTTTTAAGAAACTATTAAATGACCGTAATTTCGTTTTTCACGATCGCGGCTCGTTGCTCTCGCACGTTTAAAGTAATGAACAGATCGATTAATTGTAAGTTCGCCTGGCCGCATCTGCTCGAAAGTATTCCGCGATCGATAGCGTCGCGTGTCCGTGTGCGTGAATTCCGGCGACTCGCGAAATACCATGCCCGCGCCAGCCGCCCTTTCGTTACCAAAAGCTTTTCGCCGCAGTCTTCTCAATAGGCGCGATTTTTCACGCTCTTCCTCGACCGCGACGTCGAAAAAATATACTGCCTTCTTTAAGAGACACACGAACATATTTCAGGTTCGATGCCGTGCACGATCGGTCGTTTTCAACATGCACCACGTATATTAATAAGGGCGGCTCGAACGGCTTGGCTCGAACGGCGCTATCCTTCACGAGGTTTCTTCCGCAGGTTCGCAGCTTTCGCTCGAACGCGGTGCGTAATGCACGCCTATTCCCGACAACGGCACGTCGTAAGGCGAAGACGAATGTCGCGCTCGCTCAGCGTCTTTCGAGGATGATTAATGCCGAAACGTGTGATTCATCCCGCATAGAGGGACGCGCGCGATTCTGATTATCTCTAGTTTGCACTCGACACATTAGATATGCTTATTCGAACAAATGTATCGTCGCACGTCGAGTAAGATGAATCATCACGACTCTGCTGCTATTCTTACTTAAGTTTGTTTGTATTATTTAATTTTAATTCAATCTTTATTTTCTTCAGCTTATGCCGAAGAAATGGACTTGATTTACAAAAATAATTTAACTCATCCATGTAACCGTAATACTTAATACTATCTATTCTTCT